AATCAGGATCCAGTCTTGACTCTGAGATGGACACCACTGTAGTCAGTTTTTCTGAGTGTGGTACATGTTTCTTACTTTCCATGTGAGCACACAATGCAGTGTTAATAATTGGTTGTTAAAGCATTAACATAATTCAGAAACTATGGTAATTTCTGAGGAAATTGTAAGAAAAAAGTAACAATGCTTTCACTTGTACCTAAGCCCTTTGGGCCCAGTCTAATCCTTTGCTCTGTCAGCTTTGCCAGTCCTCAACCCCGATTTTACCATCTGTTCTCTCCACCCTCTTTGTAGGAATGTAGAGGGTGCGGGAGCCAATCATGTAAGCAGGCTGTTTATACGCACTACAAATTCAGGCCATCAGCTGAGACATCCCTATTTATCCCTAGCTGATTCCCTATGGTTTCACCATAGCAGCTGTCACAACCCACCTCGCTCCCCCACAAGCCTCCAGAACTTGCCTCAGTCTCCCTCTCAGCAGATGCCTTCACACCTACGTAAACAACCAGCATGACAGCACCCACATGAACTTCCTCGACTTGTCTCCTCTCCACCTCTAATTTTCTCTCACTTTTAGCTCTGTCCTCAGAGAATGAATATACACCTTCTTATATCTAGACATGTGCAGAGAGTCTTAGAAAAACATCAGAAAAGAAATTCACTAAAATGTCAGCAATGGTTATTTAGGAAACAGGCTCTTAAGTGATTTGTGCCCTTTTCTTTTGACTTTTCTGTTTTGTTTGAATTTTTTCATTGAGCGTGTATCATTTTTATAATACCATTTTTAAATGTCAATAATCCCCACTGATAGGTAGGTGATCCTTGGGAGCAAAGGGCCTTCAGTTTCCCTATAGTCTCTGTTATCCTTCATGGTAGACTGAGCCAGAACTGTGGCTGTGCTACCTGACAGTGGCAAAGGCACTTGGCATGTGTGATTAAGTTAAAGATCTTTCGTTTGGTGTTAAATTTGGCAGAGGGTTCATGTACTCACTGGAGAGAGACAGAGAAAGAGAGAGAAAGAGAAATGAGAGAGCCCCTGCCACCTCCCCCCCCTCCCGACACACACACACCTCCCACCACGGACATGGCCACACTTCAATCCCTTCTCTTCAGTCTCGCCCTACTTTTGGGATTTGGGGCATGCACATGAATGCACCCAGTGTGTTTCTCAAGCTGCAGGGTCTGAGACTTTAACCACACAGTCAGCCATGTGGAATCTAGCCACCCCAACTATCAACACCAAGTTAAGGATCTTGAGATGGAGGGAGAGTCCTGATTTATTCAGAGCATTCATGTAACCATGAATCTTTAAAAGTAAAATATGGGGCAAAAAAGAGTCAGGGACATGTCGGTAAGGGAGAGAATGAGAGAGACACAATGTGGCTCGCTTGGAACACGGAAGAAGGGGCCACGAGCTAAGAAATATGGGTAGTTTCTAGAAGCTGAAAAAGGCAAGAAAATGTATCTCCTCATAGAGTGTCCAGAAAAGAATACAGTTCTGGCAATTAGTCCAGTGAGATCTGTGTCAGGTTTCTGACCTCCAGAACTGTGGGATAATTATTTTGTGCTGTTTTAACATTACCGAGTTTGTGGTGATCCGTTACAGCAGCAATAGAAAAAGAATACGCATCTATTCCAATCCTCACTGGTCATTTCAAATCAGCTTATACTCTTCAGTAGAGACAATGACTTGCTTTGCAAACACAGCTTCAGGAGAAACAGTGGTCACCACTGCCCACCACATGACTTAGCGTAAGTGTCTATTTTGGCGAACTTCTGGAACCAACTCTGAGTGCCCTAAAGTTCAGCCCTTGTCTAGCTCGGCTTAATCCATCTGATGTAGGAATCTTGATTCCAAATCAACTTTCTCTCCACATCCCACTTCAAAGCTTCAGGCCAATGTTTCCAGTATGATATGCCAATAGCACCTTAATCACAGTGTGCCTCAGACATGAATCATCATCTTTACCCTTGGACCTACTTTTCTGGTTAGGTTTCTTGGCTTCCATTATGGCCCTCCCATTTACCCAGGAGCAAATCCTACCTTTTCAGATACACGCTTTCTCTATCGTTAAACTTATTCCATGTCATCCACCCATTACATGTCCTTCCTTTTCTATTTCCATCACCTTAGCTCAAGACCATAGCCTCAGAACAGGTATTCCCAACTGCAAGCTCTGCCCAATCTGACATATTCTGGACACTGTCTCAGAAATTATCTTGCCAAAACAGTCTGATGTTATGCTTCTGCTTTGAATGCTTTCTCTTGTTTATGGAATAATGCTCAGACTTTATACTTTTACTAAACATCATATTCTACCACCTAACCATCCTCCAGCCCTTATTTCCCATCCCATCCTTACATCATCATCACTCTCTGAGCCAGCTGTGCTGGTTTCAGCCTTGGCCTTGACTTGCCTTCTGCCATCTTTGATCTGTGGCTTAGGATGTCCTTTCCTGCTGTGTCTCTCTTCCTAACTCGATAGTGTGCACCAATGGCAATAACAGTCACTGTTTACCATTTAGTAACCACATGTTACTCTGGGTTGGACCTGTTCATGATTCCATCTGTAGGTATATTATTTTACTGCATCTTTACAACCACCATATTTACCAATGAGAAAAAGAAGACTCAGAGAGGAACCTGCTATATTACTTTAAGAATATGTTCATACATGGGCCAGCCCCATAGCCTACTGGTTAAGAGAGCTGGATCCCACATAGCTGACCACAATATGAATTCTGGGCCTGGTGGCTTGAGAAACATGCCAGGCACATGTGTGTGTATACCCAAAATCCTGATGGGATGGAGAAATAGACTAGATGGATGGATAAAGGGACTATGGCATGACCATGCCCCACTAGGGGGTGATTTCTCCTTCTCTTTCTCTCTCCCTGTCTCTCTCTAGCAAGTGCATGCACCCTCTGGCAATTAAAAAAAAAAGATATATGTGCACACAGTCTTTAACACTCTTCCCTTCATGAGGCACAGTCTAAATGTTCTTATTTTGAAATGTGGTACCTAAGTGATTTACTTCTACTAGAACATGGTGAAAATGAAGGGTTTTTTACTTCCAAATCTGAGTAGAAGGCACTGTGGCTTCCTCCTTGTGCATGAGTTTTTCACTCTAAAGGAGGCCACCCATCATGTTGTCAAGACACTAAAGTAGCCCATCGAAAGGCCTATGTGGGGAGAAACTGAGGTCTCCCACCAACACCCAGAACCATGTGTGTGAGCCATCTTGAAAGCAGAACCTCCAGCCCCAGTCAAACCTGCAGATGACTGCAGCCCCTGTGACATCTTAATGGTAACCACTTGGGAGACTATGAACCCAGCTAAGCTGGCACTTACTTGGTAGTTCCTGATCCACAGAAACCATAAGATAATATATGTTTACTGTTTTAAGCTATTGAATTTTGGGGTGATTTGTTGCACAAGTATAGATAAATAAAAATCTGTCCGAGGCCATATGATCAATGTGGTAGAATGGAGATTTGAGTATCAGATGGTCTGTCTCCAAAGCTCAGGCTCTTAACCTTAACCCAATACTGCCTGAAGTACTAGTCAGTCTCTACTTCAAAATTCACCTTCCTCCTGGGAACCAGCAGTTAGTGTAATGGCTATGTCGCTGGACTCCGACGTAGTCCACCGTGGTTTGCGTCCCGGATGCGGTGGCTTAAAACTCACGCCAGGCGCATGTGCGTGCGTGCCCAAGATCCCGAGAGGAGAATGGAGGAGAAGAAATTGCGGTGTGACCATACCCCCTGAGGGGGTGATTTCTCGCTTTCTGCCTCTGTGTCTCTCTCTGTCTGTCTGGCGAGCGCAAGCGCCCTATAGTGAAAAACCTCTCAAAAAAAAAATCATCTTCCTCCAGCATGTATTTTTAAGCATTATGCAAAATGCCCATCCAGCATGCTCCTGACCTCAGTAATCATCATCTGCCCACCTCACTTCATTGCTGATTTCCCGCCTCCAGGCTCTGAGCTTTACTGAAACTCCAGTGTTGTTGCAGAGTAAGTGCAATGACATGTATAAAAGCACTTAGTATAATGGCTCAATTATAATATTGGCCATCTCCTAGTCCCAGCACTTCTTCGGCACTGTGATGACTTCTCAATCCTGGCTGTAAATTGGAATCATCAAGAAAGCTTTAAAAGCAAATAAACAAAAAAGCCAATGACGCTTCAATTAAGATTTAAGATTCTTATTTAATAACTCTTGTGTGAAGCTGAGTATCGATATTTCCAAAGCTTCCCATGTGATTGTAAATTGCTCCCAGGATTGAATACTACTGGATTGGATCAGGAATTCTGACCAGGGGTGATCTTGTACTCTAACACCCAGATTTGGGGACATCTGCCAGTGTCTGAAAACATACTTGACTGTCACAGCTATTAAGGCTGGGGTCAGCAGCTGTGGTGACACAACAGTAACAACTGTAGGCGATACTACTGGCATCTAGTGCGTGGAGGCCAGAGATGGCTGCTAAACATCCTAAAGTGCACAGGTCAACTCCCCATGCACAGAATTTTCCCAGTCCTAAATGTCAATAGTGCCAAAGCTGAGAAAATCTGGATTAGATATTGTTTCCCAGCTCCCACCCTTGTTCCCCTTAAGAACTTTGGCTCCTATTTGTGTGTCTGACTCCTCCTGCTCAAAAGTACCCTCAGAAAGTATCCAGCCCCTAAGTTCTTGCTTCCTAATACCAAATCTGGGTCTAGCCTCAATGAAACAAGGGGTAGCAAACTGATCTGGACCAGACGGCCAGCCATGGGTTTGGATCCCAAGTCAAACTAAAATACACCAGGTGGGTTCATCCAAGATCATAAGTAGCTGAAAGAGCTTTGAGTACACTAAAAATAACCACAGACAAGAACCACAAATATAACCAGCCCAGGGTCCTAGTGAATCACAGAGATAGTCCTCTCAGATTGGAGAAAATAATCATTAACATAATCTTAAAATAAGGAATAAAATATTCAAGGCTTTGTGTCATACTTACTGATGCTTTAGTCTTTCTTCCACAAATGGAATGGAGAAGAATTCTGTGAATGGCTCTCCAAGCCTCTTTGGATTCTGGCTGGTCACATCACGTGTTTGATGAGAAAACGATAAGCAAGAATCAAGTCAGTTGTTGCTATTCTGCTTGCAAATTAATCCTACTGAATCCTTAGAATCGCTGAATATCCTAAGATATGACACTTACTTGTATAACCACTCTGTCAGAAAGTCACAGGCAATGAATTTGGTCCTTTTTCTCTAAAGAGAGAAGACAGAATTGAATTACTCTTACTTTGTCCACCTGTCTGAATAGGACAAAGGCAGGGAAGTTAACTGATTGCCTGTGTCAGATAAAACATGCACAAAACCTTATGAGATAGACATGGACATATCCTAGGGATTTCTTTTCTTTTCTTTTCTTTTCTTTTTTCCCTAACTTAAACGTCTAGTACAAATACTGGGGATTTTTTTTTTTTTTTTTTTTTTTTTTTTTTTTTTTTTTTTTTTTTTTTGAGGGGGAGAGACTTTTGCCTTAGGGCATGTGTGCTCATAGGAGAGAGACAGACACAGTGAGAAGGAAAGTGAGAAATCACCTCCTAGGGGGCTAGCCACTTGGCAATCCCTTCACTATTCTCCTCTTGGAATCCTGGGCACATGCACACATGAGCCTGGTGTGATTTTGAAGCCACTGGGTTCAGGACTTGAACCACAGTCAGCCATATGGGAGTCCGGTGATGTAACGACTATGCCACCTGCTGTTTCCAATATCCTAGGAATTCTTTCTCTTTTTTTTCAGAGAGATATTTTTGGTATAGGGCACGTGTGCTCACTCCACAGTCAGCCATATGGGAGTCCGGTGATGTAACGACTATGCCACCTGCTGTTTCCAATATCCTAGGAATTCTTTCTCTTTTTTTTCAGAGAGATATTTTTGGTATAGGGCACGTGTGCTCACTGAGAGAGAGAGGGACAGAAAGCGAGAAATCATCTCTCTGGGGGGATGGCCATGCCGCAATCTCTTCTCCTCCAGTCACCTCTCGGGATTTGGGGCATACACACACATGCACCAGCATGAGTTTCAAGCCACCAGGCCTGGGACTCGGACTACAGTCGACTACATGAGAGTCTACTGACATAATCATTATGGATCTGCTGGCCCCAATATCCTAGAGATTTCTAAGAAAGCTTGGGTTTCCAGAATTCTGCTGCCCCTAGTTCCATGAAGTTTTCTCCTACCTCTTCCAGTTGTTGTTGCTGTTGTTGTTGTTTTGGAGAGCTTTTTGCTATAGGGCTCATGCATTCGCCAGAAAGACAGAAGAGACAGAGAGAGAGCAAGTGAGAAATCACCCCCCGGGGGGATGGCCACGCTGCAATCCCTTCTCCTCCATTCTCCTCTCAGGATCTTGGGCAGGTACACATGCACATGTGCCCGGCGTGAGTTCAAGCCACTGGGTCCGGCATTCAAACCACAGTCAACTACATGGGAGTCCAGCGACATGGCCATTACGCCAACTGCAGGTCCCCTACCTCTTCCAGTTTGAAACACAGATGTGGGACTGCCATGAGGCCAAAAGTCATAGGCTTAGGATGGCTTAAAAAAAAAAAATGCCTGGCCCCTTGCTGACATCCTTAAGCCACTGAACCAGCTTGAGTCTGTCCAACCCTGGATAGCTTGATATGTAAGAAAAAATACACCTTGGGGCTAGCCAGTGGCATGATGGTTAAGGACACTGGACTCCTACATGGCTGACTGTGGTTTGAGTCCCAAACCTAGCAGCTTGCTCTCTCTCTCTCTCTCTGGCACACACGCTCTCGCTCTGTCCCTCTCTGGTCAAATTAAAATAAATAAATGAATAAAGAAATAAAACTGAATGAAATAATTTTTAAGAAAAGAAAAAACACACCTCGTTTTGTTTATTACCATAGTTACTGAGCTTCTATTACATACAATTGAACACAGTCCCTAGGACATAGCTAGTGTGATATTATGATATATATAAATAGATAGATACTTTTTCTATCCAAGGTTCATGGCTCATAATTATTTGGCCTTTTGTTTTTGGTTCCTGATGCTTCCCAAGACAGGCCATGCACTGGTCAAAACGACCCTCATTCCAGAAGGGTCCTTACCCGTATCAAGGAGAAAGGAATATAGCACAGAGACTGAGAAGAATCTGAGCAGACAGGCCATGCTGGTTCTCCTGCCAGGCTATTATAGCATTAGATCATATCCTTAGTGTCTGACCAGTCTGCACTGTCTGTGTTCCAATCATGCCTATGCAATGTCTCCACAAAAACCCTAAAGGGGACCAGCAGATGATGTAATGGTTACGTTGCTGGGCTCCCAAGCAGTCAACCACTGTTTGAGTCCTGCACCCAGTGGCTTACAACTCACACCAGGCACATGTGCGTGTGTGCCCAAAATCCTGAGAGAAGAATGGAGAAGGGATTGAAGTGTGGCCATCCCACCTAGAGGGTTATTTCTCACTTTCTGTCTTTCTGTCTCTTCAGTGAGTGCACGCACTCTATAACAAAAAAAAAAAAAAAGAGAAAGAAAGAAAGAAAAAGAAAAACAACCCAAATGATAGGGCTTGAAGGACTTCTGGACACACAGAGGCTTGCAGTAAAGTGAAAGAACTTATTCACATGCCGAGAGGGTGGTGCGCTCCAACCCCACAGGGCCAGAAATTCTGGCAATCAGGACCCTTGTAAACCTCACTCTACATACCTGCTCATTTGGATGTTTATCTTTTAAATTTCCTTTACAATAAATGGATAAACACAAGTGTTTCTCTGAGTTCTGTGAGCTATTCTAGCAATTACTGGGCCACTGGGGAAGTCATGACACATTTTTGCATAGAAAAATACATTGTGACTTTCCTGATGACCTTATAATTGAGCCTAAAGAGAGAGTTGTGTGACTCCCAGCTTGTTGCAGGTTGGTTACAAGTTCCAGAGGCCCAGACTCGCTCTGGTGTCTGAAGTCAGGGGACTGTATGGGACTGATCCCCCTCCTATGAGATCTGATACTGTCCCCAGGTGGGTAGTGCTAGAATTGAATTGGATTGGGGACAAGCAGGTGGCATAATGGTTAAGGCACTTGACTTTCACATAGCCGATGGTGGTTTGAGTCCTGGACCCGGAGGCTTGACTGATACTGGGCGCATCTGCATGCATGCCCAAAGAACTGAGAGGAGAATGGAGAAGGGATTGCAGTGTGGCTATTCCCTCTGAGAGTTGATTTCTTGCTTTCTCTCTGTCTTTCTGGTGAGTATAAGCACCCTATAGCAAAAACAAAAGAAAACAAAACAAACATCTCTCAAAAATACATACATAAACAAATAGAATTGAACTGGATTAGAGGACACTCAGCTGGGGTCTGCAGCTGAAGGATGTTTGGTGTGTAAGGAAAACTACGCATGTACAAGAGAAAGAGCACAGAAATCTTTATTGATTGTTGAATAAGAATGCAGGAGAAAACTGAGGGCTTTTAAATTCATAATTATTCATAATAGAGTGTGTACACATGAGAGAGAGAGTGCGCCTCCACAGGACTGGGTCACGCTATGACCCCCTTCCTCCTGTTCCTGAGCTGGCCAGGATCCTGGGCACTCATGCATACACCACACGCCACGCATCGGCAGGCTTTTCAGGCAGACAGGGTCGGGAACAGCGTGTGTGTGTTTTCCTGAAACAGCTAATAAGCCATAGGGGAAAATGTCCTGGAGTAAAGGAGGAGAAGGTTTTGCTGAGATGGGCAATGGATGGAGCACCAGGTATTCTGTCTTCCATTTCCACTTCAAGTCTCTTCTTATAACCCAAACAGAAGCAGTCAGACCTTCCAGAGAATTTATGGAAATGGAAACTGAGAGATAGCAGGTCTCTGCCTCTCCTTTTTCTCTTTCTTTTTCTTTTTTCTTTTTTGTGTGTGCCTGTTTGGCTGTTCTCCAGAGAGAGAGAGTAAAAAAGAGAGAATGAGAAAGCATGTTGCCAGGTCTGGGACCAAACTGCTGTCGACCAATGTGGGAGTCCAGTGTCTCAACCACCATGCCACCTGCTGGCCCCTCTGCCTCTCCTTTTAAGGTAACAGGGGCTTACATCCAAGTCAGCCTAGAAGTATGGGTTGCCATACAGAGAGAGCCTTCCCAAGAACAAAGGAAATACAAAGTATTATGGAAATTCTCTTTGTCCCTCTAGAGCCACGCTTCCCTTCCCCTGCTCTGTGCCTCAGAAGGATGACTTTATGGTTCACATCAATGTCCCCTACCCCCTAGTCGGGTCCAGCCAATGGGAGGTACCAGCAGATCAGAAAGAGAAAGAAGAGAAAGGGTGCTGTGGGTTGAACTGCACCCCGCCCCCAGATTCTTACGTTGATGTCCTAACTGCCAGTGCCATAGAATGTGACCTTATTTGGACAGAGGGCTGCTGCAGGTGTAATCAGTTAAGGCCAGCTCTGACCAAAAGACAAAGCATCTCCAATGAGCGTGAACACATCCAGGGAAAGAAAGACGTGCTGCTGCGTAGACCTTCACTGGGCGATTCCTAATGACATTGTTCTAGACCCCAGATCCAGCTGTGACTGAAGCCAAAATTCCGTGGGCTTTTCAGGTATATGAGCCACTATATTCCCTTTATGATTAAGTCAGTTTGTGCTGAGTTGTTTATTGCTTTTAACAGAAAAAGTCCTGACCACTGCTCCTTCTCCTCCGATCAGCTAGCTCCCATTTGTCCTTTGAGATGCCTTCAGGAAGACCTTCGAGCACTTTCACCCTCTTCAGTTTAGGGGAGGCTCTCCCCCAGTTTCCAGTGTCCTCCCCCACTTCCCCGTCACAGTATCTCAGACTGTAACATTACTGCTGGCCCACATGTCTGTGTCTCCTGCCAAAGCACAAACTGAGGATAAGGTGCAGGTCCTGTTTTCAATGTTATCAGCGCTGAGTAAATCAACAAATAAAGCAACATTTGTTTTATCTGTTCAGTTGCTAATGACAGAAAATGCCTCAAATTAGGTGATTTATAAAAATAGAAGTTTATTTATTTAGCTCACAGTTTGGAGGCTGAAGGTCCAGGAGCCACCCCTGGTGAGGGTCTTTTGTCTGTATCTCAACATGGCGGAAGGAAGGCGCGCATGGTCTGTGTTCCATGTGTGTCTCCTTCCTTATAAACCTGCCAGGAGTCAACCATGGGGGGCCCAGCCTGATGACCTTAATCAGAATCTCCTCCCCAAAGCACCACCTTCTGACACCATAATTCTACCA